CTCTCTCTCTCTCTCGCGCGCGCTTTAGTTAACATTCGATATCTGTTATTGGCACAAAATTGTACTAGTAATATGGAAACACCTGCGGGGCTAGGATCGTCGATGGAGTTCCACATCCGTGGCGGATTCAAGTAATAATTCTAATCCAACTTTCATACATGGAACTTCATCGATGCAGCAAGTAATTCTATGTATCGTTATTTATACATTGTAAAATTAACCTACATCGCAATAGGAATGTGTATGAGAAGAACATGGTGGAAAAAATATGGTTTCCACGAAGTATTATTTTTATCGAAAAAAAAAAAACAAAAACAAAGGCCGCGTATCGTGTTACACGAGCTGGACACGTCACGCGGTCACCGGCTATTTCATAGTTTCTTTTTTCTTTTCGTTTCTTTTCTTTTTCCTCGATTACGTAAAATCCATTTTACCTACTATAATCGAACATTAGATCGTTCAGTCTTTTGGTAAATTGCAGCGTCCACGAAAGTGGCAACGCGTCTCTCTGGTCGGTGAAGGTTAAATAATAACTTTTACACATAGAATATCATCGTCGATAGCCGAGGAGAAAGGAATTTTTTGTCTCGTTTATCCATGGATATTACAACGATACGATTGCTTCTTCCTTTCGAAGATATATGAATTTTTAGTTGGATTGTATACCCGTATTCGATGTCGATGGATATATTATAAAAATTAGAACGAAACTTATTATTTGTATTAACATGTTCGCTGCCATTAAAGAAATATTAAGGGCATGCGCCATCTATTTCTAGTTCTGTAAATCATCGATACACGGACATACTCATACCAACAATGGAACCTCTGGTGCGCAGAATGTAATACGATACTAAATTACATTGTCATCGTGTGAATGTGTTGATGTAGTATATAGTAATCCGTGTATATCTATCAGCAATGTTTCGATAATAACAATAAACGTGTTTGAAGAATGATATCGATATTTCTTTTATAACTATGAATATCTAGTGGTAATTGATTCTTATTGATCAAAGTATTACCGAAGCATTGTCGAAATGTCGTCAAAGTATTGTCGAAACACATACAGAATATCACATGTACAAGTGGATAGTTTCGACAGTGGCAGCGAATATGTTGAATTACTCGTGTCGTCAAAATGTAACGAAACATTTTCATGCTATAGTTATCATCGTACAGACTTTACTATATATATATCGCATTCAAAAGAACACTAGTCTCGACAAGTGTTATATAATATATGTATATATATATATATATATATATATAAAAAAAAAAAAAAAAAAAATGTATCGACAAATTGAAAATTGTCCAGTTTTTGATATAAACGGATCCCGACATCTGGGTTTCGAATAGGTTAAAAAAGTCTCTTTTAGAAAACGGAAGAGAAAAAATCAGTTAGACGTCCGCTTGTCGAGGACACGGTTGGTAAAAAAAAAAACAATATAAAAATACAATTATGTAGGATGCCACCCCGTTCTTTTATACAATAATTAATTATATTCGCAGACTTTTTCTTTATACGTTGATTATTGGTGACAACGATATTTCTCTTTTTCTTCTTTTTCCAATTTTCTCTTAATGCGCGATCGTCTTTACTGTTCTTCCATTTCTTCCTCTTCGTTTCCTCTTCTCCAGTTTTTTCTATGTATCATCATTCTTCAATATCTCGGCTCAATTTTCGCGATTTTTAAATTTTTAAAATCGTCCACGCAGCTCCGTTGCAGCAAGTTTAACGCTTAATATTTTTTTTTTTTTTTCCTTTTTCTTTTTATTCAACATTACCGATGAATTTAACGAATCATGTTTAGGACCATGAC